GATGTAAAGTTGTCCTACTTAAAAATAAAGTCATCCAAAAAACGCCAACTGAAGTTACAATTCGTCCTACTTTGTGTCAACCAAACGTCGCCCGCCCATTGTTTCTACATCACCTTATTGACTAGCAAAGCCAGCCAGGCCAAACATTCGCTGTCTTATCGTCATGACGGGACCATCCGGCGATGTCATGACTCGATCAATACTGTCACCACCCCCACCCCACCCCAGCCCAACCCCCACCCTCCAGCTTAGCTGACATAAATGAAGGCTACACGAAATATCAAGATGACAAGCAAACAAGGCCCTTTCAACGCAACATAATGCAGATATTTTTTCCTCACGATTTAAATAGAAAAGAATGTCATTATTTACGCCATCGTAATTACTTAGCTGTAATTTTTTTTATCTACATACACGCTATCGCTGTGTGACGGAATGGTTTGTGACAGCTTGCATGCATCTTTAATACACAACAAAAAACCAGCTTCGTGTCTATGTCGGCTAAACTGAGACGTTGTCGTATAAAATCAGCATCAACTTCTAGATTTACCACATCTTGTGTGTACAGTTAAGTGATTTGACTCTCCGTGAGGGGGTGAATTATAACTTAATTATCTTGGCGCCCACGTGTTCTTTGGGTGGGGGTAAAGGGTGTGGGAGGGTGGGGGTTACTGTGACGATCTATACTAAAATTCTTGGATAACACGCATACCTAATTCAAAGTATTATCATAATGGTATAAAATGTTAATGTATTGTTCATAAATATAGAGTGAGCTTGTCTTTCTGTTTAGTGAATTTGTTATTTTATATGAGAAAGACAGTAAGTAAAGTTCCCTTTCGAACCTGAAGGTCCATGGGGCAAATGAAGTAGAGTTGACCTGTTTCCGTGACCTCGGCGTATGCACGGATTGTGTGGTCAGCACTATGTACAGCAGCATTAACTTTCCCTAACATGAGTTAGGTGCCCATAAGGGATGGGTTGATTTAGTGACGTTCTATTTATATGAGAAAGGATTATTTAATGAAATATTGTCATCCTGTCAAATGAACGCGTCGTAAAGATCTACAGCCTTAATCTGGGTAATTTGAAAAATACTCTCGAAGTCAGTAAGGTGTAGAACAGCTATCAATATAGCCAGAATTTAATCATTTTATCTTTTTAAAAAAGTATTTGGCTGCGTAGAGTGGCAGGGTGAAGACCTCCCTCTCCCTCCCCCGCCCTCACTAACCCCCCCCCCCCCCCCCATCTCAGCGGCCGAGCCCAGTATGGTACCACGTGTAAAAATGATTGGTGGTGGTTATCGCCCTTGAAGTCACGTAGTCTTCTGATTGAAAGCGGACTCAAGTATCGAATCACATTTGGTTCGCTTTTCGCCGTGGAAGGGAATTTTCGCGTGAACTCTGGGCGCGCATCGCACGCGCAATGTTTGTGTAAGCTTTGAGACACGGCAGCCAACTTGGCTGAAGCTAATCGTTACTGTGTGTGTATGTGCGTGTGGTGGGGGGGGGGGGGGGGGGGTCAGGGACACTTGTGGGATAGCTGGCGACTAGTGAAGGACATGATAATTCTAGGCCGTGGTATAATGGACACACACTACAAATAGACAGAAAACAGCGTGGAAACAGCTAGAAAACTCTCAAGACTTGAAACAGAAAACAAGAATAAATTAAATAGATAATACAGCAACATGACCAACATACATCAGCCGAAATGCTCATATAACATCCTGGGGGGGTGGGGGGGGTGCGGGGTATCAATTCCACAAATTAATTGGTTCGTACTTTCGTTGTTTTTTTTTAAGTTTTTAATACACAATAAAAAAAACGGAACGTAATAAAAACGACGTTAATTATTGAAAGAATGTCATATAATTAATTAATTAATTAATTAATTGGACGTGAGTCATTGTTTCAGGACACATGCAGTATTGAATTTCATGATTGTTTTGTTGATTGAATCAGCTCACTGTCGTTAGCCGTCTTAGTGGCTAGACTTGTCAGTTGTCAGTGGCTAGACTTGTCAGTTGTCAGTGGCTAGATGTGTCAGTTGTCAGTGGCTAGACTTGTCAGTTGTCAGTGGCTAGACGTGTCAGTTGTCAGTGGCTAAACGTGTAGCACCAGCTCCCATATAGCACCAGCTCCCAAATAGCACCAGCTCCCATAGACGTGTAGCACCAGCTGCCATATAGCACCAGCTCCCATAGACGTGTAGCACCAGCTCCCATAGACGTGTAGCACCAGCTCCCATAGACGTGTAGCACCAGCTCCCATAGACGTGTAGCACCAGCTCCCATAGACGTGTAGCACCAGCTCCCATAGACGTGTAGCACCAGCTCCCATGTAGCACCAGCTCCCATGTAGCACCAGCTCCCATATAGCACCAGCTCCCATGTAGCACCAGCTCCCATAGACGTGTAGCACCAGCTCCCATAGACGTGTAGCACCAGCTCCCATAGACGTGTAGCACCAGCTCCCATGTAGCACCAGCTCCCATGTAGCACCAGCTCCCATATAGCACCAGCTCCCATAGACGTGTAGCACCAGCTCCCATGTAGCACCAGCTCCCATAGACGTGTAGCACCAGCTCCCATATAACACCAGCTCCCATGTAGCACCAGCTCCCATGTAGCACCAGCTCCCATATAGCACCAGCTCCCATGTAGCACCAGCTCCCATAGACGTGTAGCACCAGCTCCCATGTAGCACCAGCTCCCATGTAGCACCAGCTCCCATATAGCACCAGCTCCCATAGACGTGTAGCACCAGCTCCCATGTAGCACCAGCTCCCATAGACGTGTAGCACCAGCTCCCATATAACACCAGCTCCCATGTAGCACCAGCTCCCATGTAGCACCAGCTCCCATATAGCACCAGCTCCCATAGACGTGTATCACCAGCTCCCATATAACACCAGCTCCCATGTAGCACCAGCTCCCATATAGCACCAGCTCCCATATAGCACCAGCTCCCATATAGCACCAGCTCCCATAGACGTGTAGCACCAGCTCCCATATAACACCAGCTCCCACAGACGTGTAGCACCAGCTCCCATAGACGTGTAGCACCAGCTCCCATATAACACCAGCTCCCATGTAGCACCAGCTCCCATGTAGCACCAGCTCCCATATAGCACCAGCTCCCATAGACGTGTATCACCAGCTCCCATGTAACACCAGCTCCCATGTAGCACCAGCTCCCATATAGCACCAGCTCCCATAGACGTGTAGCACCAGCTCCCATATAACACCAGCTCCCATGTAGCACCAGCTCCCATGTAGCACCAGCTCCCATATAGCACCAGCTCCCATAGACGTGTATCACCAGCTCCCATGTAACACCAGCTCCCATGTAACACCAGCTCCCATGTAGCACCAGCTCCCATATAGCACCAGCTCCCATGTAGCACCAGCTCCCATGTAGCACCAGCTCCCATAGACGTGTAGCACCAGCTCCCATATAGCACCAGCTCCCATGTAGCACCAGCTCCCATGTAGCACCAGCTCCCATAGACGTGTAGCACCAGCTCCCATATAGCACCAGCTCCCATGTAGCACCAGCTCCCATGTAGCACCAGCTCCCATAGACGTGTAGCACCAGCTCCCATATAGCACCAGCTCCCATAGACGTGTAGCACCAGCTCCCATATAGCACCAGCTCCCATGTAGCACCAGCTCCCATGTAGCACCAGCTCCCATGTAGCACCAGCTCCCATGTAGCACCAGCTCCCATGTAGCACCAGCTCCCATAGACGTGTAGCACCAGCTCCCATATAACACCAGCTCCCATAGACGTGTAGCACCAGCTCCCATGTAGCACCAGCTCCCATGTAGCACCAGCTCCCATAGACGTGTAGCACCAGCTCCCATATAACACCAGCTCCCACAGACGTGTAGCACCAGCTCCCATGTAGCACCAGCTCCCATGTAGCACCAGCTCCCATAGACGTGTAGCACCAGCTCCCATGTAGCACCAGCTCCCATGTAGCACCAGCTCCCATGTAGCACCAGCTCCCATAGACGTGTACCACCAGCTCCCATAGAAGAGCTAAGGTCATGACTCACAGCTCACTATTGATTCCCTCACTAAGACCCTCCGACCTCCACCACACCCGCCCATAGTTAGCTATTAATAGCCTCATATCATTAGCAGCATTTTCACAACATTGCGTGCTTATCGATACCTAACGGATGTTCTATTGGAAACAAAATAGCAAGCTTAATCCCATTTATCGATACCTAAGATTGAAATAATAGCACGCTAAATCCCATGTATCGATACCTTAGTTTGCAATAATAGCAAGCTTAATCCCATCAGAGTGGTGGTGTTAGTATAAAGAAAAAACTCATTGGAAACGTATGTGTTTTATGTGCTTGGCCTAAAAAGAAATTTTTGTCTATACATAATTATAGTATAAAACTTTATGTTATAAAGGTTAAAAAATTAAATTATTTCACACGGTTGTACAAGAGAGAGTCTGAAACACATGTTAAAGACATTATAATTTTTTATCTGATTTTTTTTTTTAAATGTGACTCAACTCACACCTTTTTCAATTTTTGTAAGCTTTGAAGTTTTCATTTAAGTCGCATCACAAGCATTCCCAAAATCCCCTTAAAAAAATAAACTATGGTGCAAGAAATATGAATAATGTTTTTCCTAGTGATATGCATTTATCGTTGAATTGGAAAAGGTGAGAATTTGAAAGAGTTGATTTTTTTAGACTATTCTGTTAGTTTTAGTTCGGGCTAAATATTTGTTGGAGTAAAGTAATGTTTACAGTTAGGGTCGCCTTTATTACTCTCTGAACAGATCACGTGACCTCGCGCCCCTGTGAATGTACGCTGGGTTCAACTAAGGCCAAAGAACTGCCGTGATGAACGAACCGTCATCAACCGGCCTGGCGTTGTTGTGAGTTGCGCGCGGCGACCGACCGTCCGTACAGTAGGCTACCGAGAGAGAAGGGGCGCGGCGTCGCGGGGACTAAAACCCTAGCTGTACGCTCAGCCTAGCCCGACATTGCCAGTCTCGTGTGATACCAGTTTCGTGTAGGGAGAAATAAAGAGAAAAAAAAAACGATGTAGCGACAAGCGAAGGTGGAATAGTAGTAGTCAATGTTTACATTTTGGTTGTAGGGGTGTGTTTCGTGGATTAAAGTTTTATCTCGTTGTGTGCGCAAGGATTATTGCCTGAAACTTTTTATTTCACATTTGATTGTAGAAATGGTACACGGAAATCTAAAGTCATGAAATGTGGTGTAGGTGTTTGTGTGTGGGGCAAAGGGGTGAGTGTGTTTTTTTTAGTGGTCATATTCAGCACTCAGGTGCATACCACTTTCACCTGCCCGAAAGACTGCTTCTGCCCGCCTCATAGTAAAAATGTTCAGTGTGCGAATAAAGATTTTCTTACAATTCCGGACGGGATTCCTATGGAAACGATGGAATTAAACCTCAACGAAAATAGGTTTAAAAATACAGCTTTGTCGAAACGGAATTTCACAGATTTGGGTCAGCTCCAGAATTTGTATTTGAGTGATTGTGGGATTGAAACAATCGCCGTGGATACTTTCTCCGAGCTGAAACAACTGACATGGTTGGATGTGAGTAAAAACAACATCCGGTTTGTGGCGGACTTTACATTCAGAGGTCTCCACCTCAAGCACCTCTTCATCAACGACAACCCGGATATTCAGTTTTCCTTTGGTGCTTTTGCAGGTATGAGCACCCAAGGTCTCTACATGCACAACTGTGGCCTCCGACGTTTGTACGTCGATCTCATGACCCCCCTCAACGGCTCGCTCAAAACCTTATGGCTACATGGGAATAATTTCGAATCTTTTAACGAAAAATGGTTCCATTTTTTTAAAAGACTCGCGCATATTCGTCTAGGAGGGAACTTCTTCCACTGCAACTGTGAGTTAAAATGGTTGTATGCGTTTTACAAAACCTCCAAAAATTCCTTGTTCGCCGCGGCCGAGCAGCCCCAATGCGGCAGTCCTAGACTCGTCAAAGATAAAAACTTCGATAATTTAACAGACGAAGACTTTCGCTGCGAGCTGCCGACTTTTCAAAACGTCGACGCCGTGTTTGACCCTAAAATGGGTCAGTTTACATGTCAAGCTCACGGGGACCCCGCCCCTACCATCCACTGGATCTTACCCGACGGTAGGACGGAGAGCTTCCATCCCCGCGCCGACCACGTCGGGTGGGAGAACACAGGGGTGCTGTACATGACTGACGTTAAACTAGAGAGTAAAGGTCTCTATCGGTGTGTGGCTAGTAATCAGGCGGGCAATGTCACGTTTTCACTTAACGTCGTCTGGCCCGACATGAGACCACCACCGACGCCAAAACCCACCAAATCAACCAAATACGACAACAACAACGTCATACGTGACGAGACAACCAGTTCCCCGGCGAAAAAAGTTTACAGAAACTACGCCAGTGATGATTCTGAAGTATACGACTTTTCCGGGAATTCCGAAAGTAGTAAAATGAAACACGAAGAAAAACCAGCGAAAACGAACAAAAAAGATTCCGATCGCGTTTTTGGTATGGTGGACATCATCGGCGCTGTTGTCGGTACTTTTCTCTTAACATTTCTCATTAGCTTGACAGTTTTTCACTTTTACTACAAGCGACGAGAGAGGGTGAGGCAGGAGGATCATTACTCAGTTCCGGATGAGGTGAACAACAAACGCCTCCCTAACAGTATGTACATCATGAACGAGACGGATGAAAATAGGATAAAAATGATCAACCACCACAATGGAACGGAGTGTCCCAGCTGAAATATGTCAAGTGAAGGGGTGTTCATTGTATTTTAAAGTGTATTTGTTTCAATGGATTACCAAAATATGCCACTATACCACTTTCCTATCCGTCACTGCACGTGTATACATATAAATATGTATATATGTATATAAATATATTGGTATTTATGTGTATATATACATGTATATACACATATATGTATATATATATATATATATATATATATACGGCAGAAAGTAATGATAATGCTCACGACTTTTCCATCCTTTAACTAATTAACATTTGTTATTTAAATACGTAAGCAGCATTGAATGAAAAAATCACCATTTGAAACATTGAAACCACCTTCACTTAAAAACCAAATCATAATTTTTTTGACATGATATAAATATAATTTCTGACAAAAAGAATTTAGTGAGAAAGTTGTAACTGACTGATCCATTTTCTTTCTGTATTGATATTTTTTTTAAATTACCTTTAACATCATACGTATTGTAATGTGTTTTATTAACGAATTTGTGTAAATGATTGTAAAATAATTTCCAGTAACTTATGAATGTTCCGACTGTTGGTTTGTGCATTGTATAAATATACCAGCCGTATAAAACCACGGCTATCTTTAAACTCTTGAGGCGGATCTTTAACACTGCCTTGACAATTTGCAAATACTCATTTTGAAATCAATAGCTTGTGGTGGTAACCTGAGTAGGTTTTCTTTGTTCATGCAGCAGGAAGGTCGACTGGTTAAAACAGTCGTTAAAGTAAAACTTACAAGTATTGTCAAAGTAGTTTTGAGTGTTGTATTCAAATAACATGACATGATGTGTAAAAAAAAATATTTTAATTTTACAGCAATGAAAACTTGTTGTCTTACATATCACTAATTACTTTAGGGCAATCCAAAGTGTGAGAAGTCGGTATTAATTATTTTTTTTTATTTATAACATTTATTGTTTGGGTTTTTTTTTTCAATTTTATGTTTATGTTGTATAAGAATTGTAAACATCTATCCCCCTCCCCCCCCCCCCCCACTTGTACATTATGTGGAAGCTAAGATTCCTTAGAAAGGTGATGGGAAAAATTCCATTAAAACACCACCGTCAGCTCTCTCATATAAGCCTTGTGCACCCCTTTTATGTCTGGTTGTCGTTGTCGCCCCCCCCCCCCCTCTCACAAGTCTGTTTACTCCCCCCCCCCACATCCTCTCACAAGCAAGTCCTGTTGCACCCCACCTCTCACACATATGGCTACCCCTCCTTTCACCAGTCTGTATTTACCCCACCCCCCCCCCCCCCCCACCCCTCCCCAACTCGACCCGTCCCTCTGCTGTAGTCCCCACGATAATTCCCATGAATGTGCCTTTATCCCGCTGTCTGAGAACCGTCTTTAGACCAGCAATCATGTCACAGTAGCCCGCCCCGCTGTCAGTGTCCCCCCCCCCCCCCAGAACACAACCAGACCCCCGCGCTCTGCCCCACTCTCCCAGAGTAGATAGATTCCCACCCCTCCCCGGATCAACTCACCAGTCAAGTAATTTGCCAACAACAATGTGAATGTCACTCTCACGGCAAGACTAGACCCTGACTAACCCTTTTAGCCCTTTTGATAGAGATTAAAAGCCATGCTATTTTTTTTATAGCCTGCTCAATTGATTTTGTTTTTAATAAAAAAAATATAACCTTATTTTAAGCTCATCTGGATTTATGTACACTTTATTCATCCCAAGTGTAAAACATAATCGTATAACTTCTCATGTTACTGTACATACACACTTATGATCACATTAAAACCAGCACAGTTGAATAAACATTACGCGTGTAGTCTCCCCCCCCCCTCCACCACTCACACACTCACCCCTCCCCCTTATTGATCAGCAAGACAAAACATCGGATCAGATTTTTAAAAAACTATTTTTGGCGACCACATCTGGCCTGTGTCTGACATGCTGTGCTTAATCTTCTCTTAATAACAAAGAATTTCATTTGTCCATTTATTTATAGCCTCGTTCTAGTAACGTTTCACTAGCTTAAAGCCCAATCTACTACATTTTTAATACTTTTTTTACTTTTTTTTTTTTTTGTTTTTGTTGTTTTTTTTTGAGGTTTTAATACGAATTTGTGTTACAATATTTAGTTTACTACCAAGAATAATTAGGAAACGAATTACCAAAAATGTTTAAACTCAGGGCGAAAATTGCCTTAAATATTGTACTCAATATGTCTCATTATCAAATCCGTTTGTTTCGAAACTTTTGTACTCTCTCATTCGATGTTTTTAATTTACCTACTCGAAACAAAAAGTTTTGCCTACAGAACTTATGGATTTGTGCCTGGTTTTTGTCTTACATTTTGTGCCTGATAATGCTGTAGTTACGTGACTTCTTTTATAGCGTGTATTATTTTCGTCTATATTCTCCTGTTCATTGGTTATATCTTATTGTATAGTTTTTAAACATATGTTTTTCTTTGAATATTGATGTTTTAAGAATGTAAAATATGTGATATGAGGTCACGAAGCAGCTTTTTATATGTCTGGTGTGAGCTGATACATGTGTGATATACGTACAGCTGTTGTCTAACTTTGCCAAGTCTGTGTTTGGACATATGTGTCGTATTGTATGGTGTGTTGGTCTAACTTAACCAAGTCTAGATGTATTTTTGGACATATATGTTGTATGGTGTGTTAGTCTATCTTAGCCAAGGTCTAGAGGTATGTTTGGACATATGTATTGTATGGTATGGTGTGTTGTGTTGTGTTATGTTGTATTGTTCAGCGTGTGAATATATGTCCGTATGTTTTCTGTTTCTAGAACTTGTGTATGAGGGTTTATGTGTATAAGTATATGTGTGTCGCAATGCGTGTATGTGATCGTTTTGTGTCTGTCATCTTCAAATAGACGTGTTCACGGTTGTGTGTGTCGCTGTATTGACACCGCCCATCCGTAACACATCATCGATGTGTTGTAGTTAACTGTGTAAACTTGGTTTAAACACATCATTAGTATGTGTGTTGTAGTTTGCTGTGTAAACTTGGGTAAATCTCATCATACATGTATTTAAACACGCCCGTGTTTAAAGGAAAGTCAGCAAAATGCCACCCACACTGTATCTCATAAAAAGAATGATATTATCTCTCACTATTTAGCAGCTATCTTATGTGCCTAAAGCATTTCATCCCAGCACACACACTTCATACGCTTCATTAAAATACATAAAGATTTATACTTCATACAGTTCGTTGATTTACTAAATACGCTTCAATGATACACTAGCTACATGTTATAATATATTGGGGGGGGGCAGGTTTCACGACGTTAAACTATATCTCTAATTTAATACATTATTTGTTGTAACAAATGTTACTATAACTTAAATAAAAATCTGTATGTTTTAAAATATTATACAGAATGACAGCTATTTATTTGCTCATTAACTTAGCTATTTAATGACTTAGCCATGAAGTAACCTTTTGTTTTAACTCGCGTGCCATAGTATATGTATATAGTAATAATATATGTTCAGACCTTAAAACTCTATTGTAAGAATATGTTCCATTTTGATGGCAGGTATAAAAATACGAGCCACTAAATCAACAACTTATGTAAACAAAACAGCTTGTAAAATCCACAAACGAGTTCATGAAGTTAGCCTGTGTGCCATATTATCTGAAGACACGTAATGTGGTACCACTCTAGAAACAGATTCATCACGTTACTGAAAGATGGTATCGCTAAAACTCAGCCCCATAGATCCATAGCGCAGCAAGGTTTCCATCTAAGCAGAGAGTAGGTCAGGGCAAATAGTATCACTGAATCTTTACCTAGAAAGTAATACGACTAGATCTAAAAATGTTAACAATATACGGAAGAGCTTTTCTGACTTTTCTAAATATGGAAACAGGCGTTTATCTAAGTATGGCGCTAGGTCACCGAATCTCTACCTAGAAAGTAATTCGACTAGTTCTCAAACTTATAACATGACATAGAAGAGCTTTTCCAACGTGACTGTTCTAAATATAGAAACAGGCGTTCACCCAAGTGTGACGCTAGGTCGCATGTAGAATAATGAATATGACAGCATGTGGCTCTAGAGACAGCTGCTCATCTAGAGACAGAACTACCTGGACTACACCTGTTTCCATCAGCACGTGTAGGTTAAATGACAAACAGCTGGTCAGATATTAGTGACAGCTGTTCAATGTCCATAATTATAATTGTTAAATAGCCAGGACTTTTATAATTATGTTTAGTAAATTAGTATCGTCATAATTTTTTTGGTTAAATTATTTTTATACTACAACGTCTATGTCTAATACATGGCTCTACTGAACCCTAATCTAAAGATAATTAGTACCAAAAAGCTGTAAAACTATACGCCAAATCTAATAAGTGTTATCTTACATTTTTTATTGGCTGCCAAATTTAAACTAAAACATTAACTTGGCGTTTATTCCTAGGTGGAGACAGAAACTAATAAACCAAAAAATGCATTATTTTATTAATTAATTATAATTTTAATTATCTAATAATACTTGCGTACACATAAAAGCCAAAAATATGAACACATCGTTTTCCTACATCAAACTCGTATTGTTCAGTCACACTACAGCAGTGTCCTTTGTTGTCTATTGTGTCTAATTGTTTCACCTGTACATACACATGTACACGTGTACAAAATACCATAAACCAGGTACATGTTTTGATTTATGTCATCTTTCTTTTATAAAATGTAACAAAGCGTTTATACATGTGAGGAAGATTTAAATGTTAATCCTCCTTGTAACTAATGTCGTTTAATTATCGACTAAATAATGGGGAAAGTAGACTTTTTACTCCATGTTAGTCTGTTTCTTTACAAACGAGATGTTTTTTTTTATAGATAAGAAAATTGCTTTTATTTAGATCTAATTTACAACATGGTTTGATTATAGACAGAATAACTGGGAAAATAGATTTTATTTAGTATTAAATACATGTAGCATTGTGAAGTAATCCTATGGAGATTTGAACTACAATATGTTTTATCTACTACAAATGTGATGGCTTTATGTTATTGTTTATTTTTTTTTCTTTTGACGAGAATACTTTTGTAAAATAACCTTCATAACAAGAGTC